GTTAAATGTCACGAGCTGTGTGCAGGATGTTTATTATGTAACAAAATTAGTGTAATTTCTATGAGAGCGTAGTTAAATCACAAATATCGTTAGGGACCGGTCATAAAGTAATTACTATAGGGGGGTGGAGGATAAATGAAATTTCAAGAACATATTTCCCTACCCTCCCAAAAACCTATGGAAAAATTTCCGTAACCCCCTTCAATGTAAGTGAAAATTTTCATACCCCCCCCCCTTTCAATCATTAACAGGTTCTAATTGTGTGAGCTTGCTAGCATTGTCATTGACAATTCAGATGTATCAGATTTGTAGTTTTTTTGGGTTTTTTTCGTATCCCCCAAAAATATCCTCTACACCCCCTAGTAAATACTTTATGACCGGTCCCTTAGCGGTTTGGTGTTAGCCGTAAATGTCAAACTAAAGTTCTCTAATTATGAGCTGAAAGATACTGTAGTATGCATGGGAAGTTCCATGCAAAGAAAGACCTTTCTGTATTTAATTACACCATTTGAATAGCTATTGAGTATTGTAACACAGAACTATTTGGCAACAGAAAAATGGAACGCTGGTATCTATCGCCTTTCTGAAAGAGTGGGTCATAATTTCTCAGCACCAATTTAAGGGTGGGCTACAAATTTTCGAGTAGCTATTAAGGGGGTGGGCTACCAAAATTGCAGACAACAAATATATGATTTTCCCAGCCCCCCCCCCCCACCTTTTACTTTATGACCGGTCCCTAAGTTCAAAAACAACAAATACTACAACAGTAAGAAACGTTTGTATTAAACCAAGAGGAAACCTAAAAATTAGAAGACAATTAAACAAGTAAATCGACAGGCATGTTATCTGGGTTAAACTGGTTGGTGCATGATACTTTATAAAAAGATCGATACTATCGATGCTGAAAATTTAGCAATTGGTATCAATACTATTTTCAGTATCCATGATTTTGATATTCATAAAATAAGTATCATGGAGTGATTCTGTCTAATTGCTTTAGAGACTATGTTTAGATGAAGTATATCCCAGCTATTTATCATGCTTCGCATTTGTTTGCGCTGCCAAAAATCATTAACGATAGCGAAATTCTGCGTGGCAATATTTTTCCAGATGTGAAAGGTTGATGGAGATTCTAAATACACATGCTATATATATATATATATATATATATATATATATATATATATATATATATATATATATATATATATATATATATATATATATATATATATATACATGCCCAGAATAATTTAAGGGATAGATAGGGTACTTTGCACGTGCTTTAAAGTGTACAGAAAAATTATATATATTATTTGTGTTGTCATTCTCGATATCGGTATCAATAATATCGATTCTAAAATCCCAGTATCGCCCACCAATACACTATACACATACTTACATGAGGTATAAGATGTAGCAAGGCGTCACCAGTTAAACATCCAATAGCAAGAGCCACCAAGAATGACATAATTTTGTTATAGAAAGATTTTCCCAATAACGGTATGACGGCGATAACAAGCAATGAACTTAAACTGATGATTGTGATGGCGACGGTTGAATAACCCCATACTAAAGAAACGATTGATAAGGAACACTTCAGAGTTGAAATATCATGGACAAATATCATGAAAAAGAGTTGAGGCGGATAATCCGTCAGTCGAAATTGGGCAAAGGAAAACACGATATTGTTCGTTCTGCATGCCAGACAGGCAGACGGGTCATATGGGGAGGGAGAGGGGGGAACATGTTGAAAGGGGAACATCTTGAGTTTCTAGATCTTCGGAAATATCATTGTGATATGCTGTCCATGAGTCAGGATCAGATCAGTGAATTATTATTATTAATTGGCCCATTCGCAAATCATAATCATATCCATCAGAAGACGATAATCGAACTAGAAATTGCAGCAAAAACTGCAAGTGTAAACTGGCATTAAGATTGATGCTTCTTCAGAAGGATTATGCGTCAGGGATTCATGCATGATATAGTTGATCCGTCTTTGGAATAAATCGCTTCACTGTCTTGTAAAATTTAAACATGTATATCGTACTTTGTCTAGCACAAACTCACATTCGCCCGTGGATAATTTATCTTCACTCTCTACGCTTTCTTCAGGAGTTTGTTCCTTGATCTGGCTGACAAATAACGCGTACAATGCAGGGCATAGCTTGGAAAATTCATCTTCGTTGATTCTACTTGTTTCAGTGTAATTTTTGTCTCTTAAAACTTTGTACACTCCCGCACACTATAAGAGAGAAAAAATACGTTTGAGGTACGGAAAACAACTTCATTCCGACAAGCAAAGCACGAATACACGGACGTTTGTTATTGCTTCCTACGAATTAATTTCATCTTACGTTGTGCGAGATCGAACTGAGTTGTCTTTGCCCCGCGGGATTTCAGTTAACCGAGCCATTTCCCACATACTGCAGTATAAACGCAAATTATATGTTTATTGTTTTGAAGATAATGGATTAAATCGATTATTGACCATGTTGCAACAGCTTTATAGGTTAATCAGCCCCTGGATTAGCCCAACAAAAACACCGGTATAAAAATCTCCGATGATGGTTGTTTTAAAAAAAGTAGGGAGAATTCAAGTGAAATTTCTACTACTTACGGCAAACTTGCGTTTTCTCCTACTTTAAATGGGAAAAGTCACTGTCACCGTGGTAAAAATTATCCTCTCATCGGATGAGATTAGGTGCGACAATGCGTATAATATATCCTTCGCATGGGAAGATAATCTCACCCCCGCTGAAAATTTAGTTAAACTGCATGTATGGTGATATCGAATTTCGTTTGGAAGGTCGTAATACTACATTGTTATTGTTTTTTGACATGAATGCATTGCATGTGTGGTCACTCAAAAAAATTGATAAAATTGATTATATCATTAATTTAACTATACTATTGTTTAACCGTGATCAAGTGAGCTTTATTAACCAACTCTTCGATATGTTTTACGTTTCATTTGTTACGTAAACACTTGATTTGGATACGCAAGATATATTTGCAACGTAAATGAGGCGTTTTGATTCTTTAATTTAATAAGAACAGTAAAATTTAATTGAAAGTATCTACAACAGGTTTCAAGTACTCAATACAGTTAATAAATTTCGTATGATTCATTTCCACTTAAATTCATACTACATCGTCGAAAATGCTCGCATAAAATAAACATTCTTGCTATTTGTAATTTTTGAGACGTTTTCCTGGCGTAAACAATTAATTTTATTTAATAATAGCTAATTTCGACAGTCAGTCTGTAGTCTTTGAAAAGCAATAATATCAAAGACTGCCTGTCGAAAGCTCGTGTTAAGTTTAATAAAAAGTTTTACGCTCACAAAACGCCGCAAAAATTAGCGAGAATAACATTGGTCGTGTTTGTAGCTTCCTTACCTGTCCTTCTTCCTCTTCGTGTTCCTCTTCATCCTCACCATGTTCCATTAATTCCTCATGCGTCTCTTCAACTACATTTTCCTCAGCACCATGACCATGTGGGTCAATGCTTGTTGTGGCACTACATGCACTCAACTTCTGGGTAAAATTACACAATTGCGACGCTATAATATTCCCATTTTCGTCGCCATAATCTTCAAAGAAATGTTCCAGTAGTTCTTCTGTGAAAGAGTGTTGTTCCTCTGGTTCAGTGTGGTTACTTGTTGTATTTTGCGCCGCCAAGGTGCACGTCGGTAGCAAACAGAACAAAACTAGCAATGATAAACAGTACGGGAAACAATTATTCATGTTGAAAGGCTAACACTGTCTCGTTTTAATTATTAGATATGTTTTGTTCACAATAACGTCAGGTCAAGTAAGCGTCGTAGCATCACACTGAGTCATAGTCTACTATATGCGTGCATGTATCACTGATGTTATATACTGTATGACAGTGCTATTTCAACATGAGTTACGTCGGAAGGATATTGTGGTTATTATATCAACACAGATTGCCGCCCTGCCGACATAGCACGCGATCTCTGAGAGGGCGTTTATTTTCACTAATTGAGTATTTTCCGGTCACATCAGGAATGTAAAGCGGACAAACTGAGACCATTGAACAGGCCATTAAAGGCAGTATCAATATAGGAAGCGTGTTGGGCGTACTTTCTTGAAAGGTTCGAAATTTTCGAATAATAACAAATAAGTTGCCACAGTTCGTATCTAAAGCTCTGGACCTCGAAGGTTACAAATCTTTTTTGGTAGTTTAGGTGGTTTCGAAACAAACTATGACAGCATATTCTAGAACACTATTATTACTAAACTAGACCCCACGTCAGGGTGTTTCCAATGCATGGGCAATAATGCAGTCAGTAGGAGTTTTGTTCCCATCAAAACATCACGTTCATGGAGTACCACTAGTACCACTACATATATTTGAGTCTATGAAAATGACAACGAAGTTTTGAAAACACCACGTACGTCGAACGTACATTGGTGATAAAAGAATATTTTTAAACTGGAATTCGAAGCTGTTCAAGTGAACAAACAGTTTTATTATTCAGTGTACACATGAGAAAACCTAACACTGCACGTGTTGTCAACATTAATTCAAGTCTTGAATCGAACGGGATTTGAACCCGTATATTAAGGTAACCCGAGCAGAGATTCTGTACCAATTGAGCTATCGAGTCAACTGGGTCGAGCACCAATTCAAATCTTTTCTCTGGATTATTAACTAACTTCATTTCTATCATATTTCCTTATAGCGGTTCTGATCAAACATATTTCTTCAATAAATTTTTCTCTTAGGTTGTATCTATTCGACTTTAGACTTTTAATTTAGTTTACAGTATTCTGATTATACTATACGATTAATTATATATAGCAGTACAGTACGGAATTGTAGTACATAGTATATGTATTTCAGAAACTCATTAGTAATTCATGAGGAAATTAAAAGACAAAGGAAATCGCTCCCGTTTCGGTGTTTTCTATGTTATAAAAATCATCTTAATTTACATAAACTTTAGCTGTGATTATCTAGCTCGGTTTAAACAACGTTAATTTTAGTTAAAATTACTTCGCCAATGCCAATGGACTCATAACATGGATCGTTTAATAAGTCGCAGACTAGCAATCTGTGCTTTTATATCTGATAGTCATAAAGCAATCCTGCCCGTGTTTTAAATAGTACATACTCCACGCCATTTTATTAAAATATACCTTACGTACTAAAATACGAGTAGTCGTGCTTTATCAGATATAAAACACGAAAGCGCAGCTCGAGTGTTGTATGTCTGATGAAGCACGGACTGCGAGCTTTCTAAATGGCTTAGAGAACGACACATTTAAAAATAAACGTTATCAAAGCCGAGAAAATGAAAGCTAAAGTTTATTTAAATGAACATGATTTTTTAACACATACAAAACCTCGGACACAGCAGTGTTTTCCTTTGACTTGGTCTTTTCCTCGTGAATTATTGATGCCTTTTTAAATTGTATTTAAATTCGCGGGGTATTCGAATTCGCGCAGACTGTAGAGTGTAGGTGGACAAAATTGACGCATTGCGAAAATTATTCCGTGCGAAATTGACGCACAGCGAAAATTCATCCACGGCTGATGTGACATGCGCCAAAATAATTCGCATATAAACGTTGGCCACTGTGACACAAAATATTGACAGTTTGAGAAGCATGCATCTTATTAATTTGTTTATCTTTCTTCTGGGGTTTTCTGTTCAAGTGGCTTGAACGTTTTAACAAGCGCTTTGGTGAGTTAAGTACGTATTCAATGGCATGTAAGGAGAGACCATCATTTTCTAATTTTGTGACATTTGAAGGTGGCGAAATTAAACCTGCGCGAAAATATCCCATTTAGGGCACGCGAGTTTAAGGCTGAACGAGTTTAAGGCTGAAGGTATTTAATTAGTACTTACATGTAAGGTATACTTACAAAATGAAGTTCCAATATTTGGCGTTTTTACAGAGTAAATATTTTGGGAAACCACATGACAATCGTGACTATTAATTTTGACCCAGGGTCAGTCATAGTGACGCACAATCATTTGTTTTCAGTAGTTTATATAACACTATGGTGATTATCAAAAATTCCATTTTTCTGGTTCAATACTTTGTAAAAGTTTTAAACTTATGATCGGATCAGGCCATAGACATTTTTTTAAGAAATAAAGGAAGAGAACATTTCCGAAGTCAAATCATCTAAAACGACAGCCATAAATATAATAAGAGGCCTTCCTTCTCTATGTGGCGTATTAATTGCGGTGAAAACCGTACAAAACCTATAATCTTTTTCGTGTTCTTCTTGAAATTACCTTGTTTTAAATTAACTTCATTTAAATGCATCTGTCGGTTGAGAAACTTCAGATAATAGTAAATAACCAGACACAGTACTAAAATGCGGTGCCCTGCAAAAAACATTTCTGGCGTTTCGCCTACAAGTAAACTTATATGAAATAATACGCTAGATGGGGCCCCTAGATTTCTCCTGTTGGCTAATACATGAAGTTTCTAGTGAGGGAAAAGTGAGCGCGCGAGGTCTGCGAGGACCCACCATCGAATTTTTATCGAATTTCTAAAGCTTTTTCATGTGACGTCTAATGTTACGCTTACATTTGTTTTGGACTTTGGCCACTGTCAGTTCTATATTTTTTATAAAGTTTTGGTTTCTTAGTGTGATAAATCTGTGTATATAGTCTATATAATGTGGTAAATGCACCTAGCAGATATGACTTTACAGACTTGATATGAAATCGCACATGTTTAATATCTGTCACCTCTGATTGCCCTTTAACCCCTGGTCTTTGCTACTTCAATCTTTGCTACTTCAATATATATTGCTTCTTGTCCTTCTTTTCAGTTCCATTTACAGCTCACTAGTCGCTGCGAGTAATCACTGTGCTTGATATAATTTGCGCTCTTTACTGTGGTTCTATTTGCTTTTGATGCCCGCAGCAATCCCTACGCTACATTCTCCTGTCGGCCGCCAGTTGGTCCGTACGTTAGGGTCGAAACTGCGTTTTAAAGCCTTCAAAATAAAATATTTTGGGCTCAAAATACTATCAAAATGAAGAGAAAAGTGAGACGAATCGACTGGCATACGGCCGAAAACGAGAAAACCCAACAATTCCGAAGTTATCAAGGATCAAACGGACTGCATTTTTAATTAGTTTAGTAATTTTGAGCGATTTGTAAACAATACAATTTTGCTTATTAAAACTGCACATTAAAAGATTCAAAATATAATATTTTGGGCTCAAACTACTAACCAAATAAAGACAAAAGTGAGACGAATCCACTGGTATACGGCCGAAAAAGAGAAAACCAACAATACGAAAGTTATCAAGGTCAAATGTATTGCACTTTTAATTATGTTTAATAATTTTCAGCGATTTGTGAACAATACAATTTCGCTTGTCTTTCAAAGGCCATAAATCGCTAGAATACTGTAGTTTAGTAATACATTTGACATCTGTGAGCATAATTTCTTACACTGAATCGAACGGTGGTATTTTTGTCCTTATTGGGCGCATAAAACCAGAGATAAGACGCAGCAAAATGTCAATCGTGAGAGTTCGAGTTGTAATTCGAAAGAAAACTTTCCTCGAAAAAAGGAATTCGGAAAACGTGAAGGATTATTTTGAGCGGCTTTTGTCTTTCAAAGGCGACAAATACCTAGAATAGAAGTCAATTTTGAAATCAATTTTCCATCCGTAAACACAACTTTACACGCTGATTTGAACTGTGGTATTTTTGTCCTTGTTTGACGCTTAAAACCAGAGATAAAGCTGAGCAAACTTGTCGATCATCATGAGTGTACACGATTAATAATAATTAATAAATTCCGAGCACGTGCAAGGAATTTTTGGTAGGCGGTTAAGGAAACGTATTGATGCGAACAAACTAACAAACTAACAAACAAACAAACAAACGGACAAACTCACAGGCAGAATATAATGCGGTGCCAAAAATGGCACGGGCACCGCAATTGTCAACAGACCTTTTTAAGAAGTCTGCCTTGTGACGTATTTGCGGATAAAGGAAGATATCGCACAGCCATTTGGCTTGCCTGATGGCCAAAAGATAGTATTTATCGACAAACTACGTCACAAGGCAGACTTTTTGAAAAGGTCCATTAAAAACAATTATCAATGATGTATGCTTTAAAATTCACGCCATATTTACAGCAATATAAGCAAAATGTAGTGAATTTCTGACCCCATTTAACATTTTCTCTTTGACTTTGTGGTGTCATGGTCACCGCGCTTGTCTTTCAAGTTGGGAGACGCGGGTTCAATCCTTGGTCGGATCTCCACTCAAGATCTTAAAATAATTGAAGAGAAAGTGCTACTGTACCTTTACATGCATTAAACGCATGGTTAGACGTTTGCGTCTTCTCGGATAAGGACGTCAAAATCGTAGCTACCTTGGATCCCCTATCAATTGGGAAATAGCTGTAGCGTGTTGGGAAATCCGCCAAACAATGAGTGAAAGACTCATAAACAAACAAATAAAACCTCTTCATTTCAGCATTTATTTATTTTAAAGGACAATGGCAACAAAAATTTTTATTGTCTCATTTGAAAGAACGTTATAAATAAAAATCTTGTTACAGATTTTTCATATCTTGCTTGATTCTTGAAATAATTTGACTGAAAGCAATGAGCTGTCCGCCATCTTGATGACGTCACGAGTGGGGTTAGCCTCACAAAATCACCTTCGAGTAACAATCAAAAGTTGTTTAACATGTTTTTATTCGAAATTTGAAATAGCAACCAAAACTCGAGTTTCGGGCTCATATTGATCACTGGCTGTCACGATAAAAAACTACATGACCCCACTTGTGACGTAATATGCATATCCTCAATAATCCTATTTCAAGACTCAAGCAAGATATGAAAAATCTGTAACAAGATTTTATAAATAATTTTAAACGTTGCCATATTGTTCTGTAAAGATAAAGTATTAAAATAAAGTATTACTTGATATTACAATTAAAATATTTTTGTATTAAAATAATATGCTTTTAAGTTTGTTTGCCGACTGAGGAACGTTAAACTTTCTGAAATGAAAAATTTTGAATTAATAGAAGTTGTATATTTTCCCCATTAGTTTTGAGCTCATGTCACGAAACATACATGCAAAGTAGAAAAATGATCTCCTATATGAAGGATAAAAAGAATTATCACAGAATTAAAAATGTGATGGATGTATCCAGTTTACAAAGAAAAAAACGTGACAAAAAACGTTTTCCTCGTCATTGTCATAAATAGAAACATTGAGTTTGGTAGGTAGCCTACATTAAGGTATTAAAAGTGAAGTTATTAAGTCGGTTCTCCATTAGGTGAATCTTTTCGCGCAAACAGACTTTTTTCCTTCGTTTGCGTCGATTTTTCCGGCGTGATATGTGATACGGATAAAGACAAAGAAAAAATTCGCTTTGCGCGAAAAAAAAATCGATAGTTGAAAACTAGTTTTAGGGGGACTACAATCATCCTCAAAGCAAGGATTCAAAATACAAGCAAGGCAAAAGATTCAAGTACCCCTCCCCCGAAAAACGTTTGGAGCGAAGGCACTTCGTCTGAAACTTCGAAGTTCTTATTTCAGGCACTCGAATCTTCTATACTTCTAATGAATCCCATTTGCAGCAAGGGCCTAAATTTGTAAGGGACTTAGCTTAAAAAAATATCGTGTCGAAGGATTACCTAGGCGGGCGCTTCCAGATCTGCTCATACCTAATTTTATGCCATTTTTATCACAACACATACCGTAAGCAATGGGGGGTCTGCCAGTCCGGCGGGAAACTATATTTCATGTCTATTAGTGCCTTCTTAGAAATTACAGATGACGCCCTCAAGACTGACTGAAAATACGTCCATATGGTTATACCATGCATGGCTCCTAAAGACAAACCATGTGAATTCCATGTGATGTCGAGGAGAGGCTTTAAACTCATTTTGCCAAATGTAGTGCCATCTTAATTCGACATAGGCATAGCATTCGCAAGTATATTATGTAAATCTTGTTTAAGGTTTTACTGCGTTCTATTAATGAATGAAGAATGTATCACAACTATAATGTTATCACTGCACATTTTACAGTTATCACCCATGTACACTTTCATTTTATCACTCCTCAAATTGGTTATCACTAAACGCTAAAATTATAGGCACGCATCTGCTTGCCACCGTAATTTATACGACCGATGTTCAATCACGGAGCACAGTTAAAGTGGAAATGTTAGTTTATTATGGGAGGAAATTTACGTTTTCGAGAAATGTAGGATAGTCACACATTTAAGTAATAACACCCTGCTGAACCTAATCGACCCACATTAGTCGTCTTTCATCGATAGCGTGTTGACCTCATAATTATAGGTTACTCCCTGATGACGCACGGCACTATAGACGTTACGAGGAAAATGTGTTATTGGCACTGCCAGCATAATCATATCACGTTATTATTGTATTGCGTTTAACTAAATAGGTTAATCATTTTAACAAAATAGGTTTATCATATTATAATACATGTAAGGTATTATATACTGTACGTGGGAGACGGTTTTAACATTAATCCGGCCGGGTGGTTATTTATCATACACACGTATATCGTTAAGTATAATGTATAACGCATGAGCAGCCGATCTGTATATGATTCACAAGACGAAGCGAAGGTAGCCTGAGCGTAGGCTAGACCGAGGTCTATATGACTTAAAGTACAAATGCTTCTTCTAGGTAATAAAGTTTACCAACATTTGGGCGATATGGTTCATTTTAGCTGAGGAAAATCGAAGCTGAAGTTTATGAAAATCAGGACGAAATGTCTATCTCATTCGCAGATATTGATTAATTAACTACATTTATTTCTGTTGAATTTTCTTCATGAACTATTCATTAATTTTTTAACTAGATGTTTACTAGGTTTTTATAAATAGAATAGGTCGAGTGTCCCTGACATGCACCAAGTGGAAAGAACATGCACTTGAAACTTGCATAAAAAGAATTCGGAAATAACTTATTTTATACTCTGAATGTTAGTGTGAAAACTAATCAACACTCTAAAAGAACTCAGGCTAAAATTTCCTGGTAACCCTCACTTCCTACCATATTCTAGTTAATGTAACCATGCAGAAATCTGATCATATTTCATATTTTGAACAGGACGTCCTTGTTAATTTACAAAACTAGAGTCTAGACTATGCTACAATCAGTGACAAAGTGTTTTTGGACAGTGATATACTATATAGGTAACTTCATATTTCCAAATACTGTTCAGCATAATAACACCATCTCCCACCCTGAACAATGTTGGGTCGTTGGCAAGCAACATTTTGCGCACGATTTTGTCCATACAGCATCGAAAAGGGGGCAAGGGGGTCTATTATTATCACGATGTTATTAGGTGACGTCACGATGACGAAAGCATTAATTTGATTGACAGGCGCAGCGAGCGAGGCGTACGAAAAAGTAACACAAGCTAGGCGTTTTCTACATTGTAAACAAATAGCTACTTCTCTAGATTTCTTTTTAATTGAGTATAAACTATATCGTAATAAACTAACACGTTACAATCATCTTGTAAACGTACGTCTATATTTTGTTATTTTGTCAAAAGTGTTTTATCACTGATTGTAGATGGAATATAGCTTGAGCCCCTGTTTATTTATATCCATATAACATAGTGTGATTAATTTAGCCAGGAAGTCCTGGTCGAATTAACTCTACTATATATAGTAGGGGAAAGGTTAAAACAACCAGAAAAATTAACCAGAAATATTAAGTTAACCCTTATTTCTAGGGTAAGCAAGAAGATTTTAAAGAGAACGTTTGTACGGTGAAGGTTAATTTAAATTAAACACATTTAGAAGTTTCTGTCCTATATAATTGCTGATATTATTTGTTCTGATTCAGTAATTGTGTAATGATTAACTATTGAAAATAAGCAGATTAATTAACAACATTAGGAGAGTAATGTCGGGAAATAGCGTTGGAAAATAACAACAAACTGGAAAAATAAAGATAGTAGTAAATTTGCATTGTATAGGAAGTCACCATGCAGTTACGAATAGGTAAATGCGTCAAGCCTGGCGGGGAAAAGGTGCTGTTCTAATTAATTTAATTAAATGTAGCATAGTGTTGACGTGATTAACTAATGTAATAAATAAAAGAATTCGCTTTAATAAACTGGTCTCTTTTCCTAAACACATTTATTTCAGCGCATTACAGTTTGATGAAGGCCATTGAAAACACTTAATTATGTACTTAGTCGGGCTAGGTAGCGCGATGTTGACAACTTATGCTATGTATTCACCACTCCTTTTGCATAACTTAATAGGTTTTTATTAATATAATGCATTTCCTGACCATTTAAATTTTCATATTATACAGAACATTCCAAACCGTAGGCCGGTTGTTCAAACCTCGACTGGACCTAAAATTTAACCTGTTGTTTTCCTGAATATGAACGCCCATTGATTTCGAAACTTCAGAAAATAAAACTTCTGAAAACATATTTTAAGTTTATTAGCAACATGGTAGTTTGCTATTGTAGGACGTTCATCGTTAACTTAGGATTAATTTACCGGCTTTCGAACAACCGGCCCCATGACTACATTTCCTTCTTATCTTATAGCTATAGTTTATAGATGAATGTGTCATTTATGTATGTTGGCAAAACTGTTACATTTACAGTGATGTACGGATGTTTATGTTACACACTAATATACGCTGTTCCATGCTTCGTGGTCATGCAATAATTTCTGCTCTAAACTCATTTATACTCTACTATAAAATAGCATGCTGGAAGGAAGTACAATTATATAACTTTATTATTTGTTAATTTTTTGTTCCTGGTTAATTTAAAATTAACACTGTTTGAGGGAACTTCAGGTTCCTCATGATTAAATTTTCTGGTTAATTTAACCACAGTTCTGGTTAATTTGGTCACTGTAATGGCCAATTTAAACAGGATTCGTGGCTAATTGCTATAAACAGGATTCCTGATTAATCAACCAGATTATGTTAGGTGGATTACTGACCACGAATTCGTAATGGTTAAATTAACCAACCCCATGCAAACTGTATAATTTTAGATTAATCAGGAAATTTTTAACCAGGGTATTTTTAGAGTGCAGGCTATCTTTGCGTATTGTATTCATGCATGTATACCCAGAGCAGGAGGTCCCCCCCCCGCCCCCCCCCCCTTGCGTCTTTTCTTTGACTTTGTGGTTTTATAACATGCTGCGGAGAAACCACAAAACGACAACAACCAAGTTGTCGGATCCTACTGGACCCTTAAAAAATGTTGATTTTTACCAGAGATATATGGACAGTTAGTTAAGAACACGTCCAAGATTTTATGATTCCAGGTATATGCTTTTTAACTAGTTGTTGCAAACTAATAGTTAATTAAGGCATGCATGCATGGCCATGCTTTTTAATTAATAGTTAAAGTCATGCATGGGCATTACATATAATTCAGTTCTTGTAATGTGAATTTTATCTTGCCATGTTTTGAGCGTTATACAAGGAATCTTAATAACATTTAACTTTTGTTAAATTCGTTTTGGAAGGGATGTTTAATTAATATTAAAAAGCTCATTAATAATTCATGAAGAAAATTCAAAAGAAATGAATGTTTAATCAATGTTAGTACATTGATCAACATGAAATGTGGGTATTTCGTTTGCATTCAGTCATTTTTTTGTCGTCGGAGCTTTTGTGGTTGGGTTTTCTTCGGTGGGATATTTGACATGTGGAGTTTTTTTATGGATTCGTTTTTGAGAAAACAACGCAGTTGTTTACTCAGTGGTCACTACGTGCCCGCTGATTGGCTAATATTGGTAATCATGCAGCCTTTTCAGGTAACTCAGTTATTGGTTTAATTTAAATACCTTTCAAATCACGCGAGTAAGCAGACCACGACGCTTTAATTTTGGTATATGAAGGGGCGTGTGGATTAAACAAGCCACATATTAGGGACCTAGCTTATGCATGTACGACGGAAAGGAAAGTAAGGAAAATTTGTTGTGTATTGTCCACTGTATCAATTTATTACAGTTTGAGGATTTTAAAACAGAGGCTTTATGAATTACGGTCGGTTAAAACTATTTCTGCTGGGCAAATTTGTAGTACCACTTGTCCCAGTTTGAAATGTTTGCGTTGTACAAGAGACATGAAAATCTCCGATGTAAAAAACACAATTAACGCCTCTAACTCCCATTGGGCTTTTAATTATTCATTTCTTTTCAACGAAATCTTTGCAATAATTAATATACGTGGTGTTCCGGCAAACCAAAACTTATATTACTATTTACTATGCAACACTATACAAAGAACAAACTAGGTTATCTGTAGATTGGACTCGCGGTATGTTGAGGACTAAAGTTGCTTCGTGTGATAGAATTTAAATCGTTCTTTATCGAAAGAGCAAATTAAAACAATTTCTGTATACACCAACCGTGGCCAGTGTCAACGGTCGGCTTTACCTTGACCTTGATATTCTTGATAATTCCGTAAATCACCAAGCCTCGTCCAATGAATTTAAAGCCTTATCCCTATCAGATGGTGTTAAGGAGATTAATGTGGAGTGTCACAGGTAGTGAATTGCTCTCAATTCAATTCAATGTAGTGAATTGCTCCCTATATATACCAAGAACGATACAGAAAAAACAGTTCCTGATCCGCTCTCTCTGGCTCAACACTCACTCGATTCTCGCGCTTAAAGAATTGAGTACATGCAATAGTGTGACAAGTAGGAATGAAGGTGACTTTGGGTGAGGCCGGAAATTTTACATTGCTGAGCTATTTAGAATCGTTATGTCATCCCCTGCAGGGTATCAGAATTATACGATTTCCTTTTCAATAAACAGTGAAGTGGAATGTCGTGATGAAGTTAATGCGACGAAATTTCAAGACTTTGCACACGGATTTGCCAGAATTTAAAAATAGCTCAGTGAATATTCTATTACAGCTGATTTGCGTTTTATCATTTCTATTTCATTTTTGTTTGTATCGTGCATATATAATCTTCGTCCAAAAAAGCGTATCCGCGGATTCTTAGTAGATTTCATTTTTTTATTTCTCACGGATTTTTCTTGGATTTTTAAAAGACATTTTGCTGGATTTTTCAACTTTCCGGATTATCTTGGGATCTGAATTTCGAATTTTTGTTGATTTTTAGGATTTTTTAAAGATTTCTTTAGGATTTGAACGGATTTTGGATTGACAGATTGTCCAAATTGTACCGGATTTGTAGGGGATTTGTTGGAAAATTGTACGGAATTGTGGGGGTGAAATACACCCCGATTCTCATAATAATCAAGACTTGTTTATGTATATGTTAGGGCAATGAGGGACAAATCTGTGGGGACATTAGTGTCGCTTTGATATCCAAACAAATATTGATCAATTGCAACTATAGTATAGTCTAATTCTTTTTTATAGTATTAAAGTGTCAAAGAATATATTAACGTACATTTTATTATATAGTAAATGTCAAAGAATGCAAAATAAGACGGGAAACGCCCATAATGTTCGCTTATAACTCGACGGTAAGAGTATTAAATGTCCACCGCGCTAGGAGCTCAGTTGCCAGGAGACGTGATATGCTCTCTTCCGATAAGATACTACTAAATTAATCGGAAATTACCTGTAATTAGTAATTCAATCTTCATTTTTCTTTCTTGTTTATTTCCTGCAAAGATAATGAAAAATAATTTGTAGTGTGGAACAATGTACAGTAGAATGAAAAATATTGCACCATTTCATGCAGAATATAGGCATTTCCGATTGTACTCCTACAATTCTAAGACGTTGCCCAGAGGCGCCGGAATATCGATAATTGCGGGGGCAGATATTCATAATTATATTCGTGTTCACAGACTGTAAAAACAATCGATTTCAAAAGAAATTAATTGGGCAGAACACGAATATATGAATATCTAATTATCGATATTTCGGCGCCTCTGACGTTGCCGCCTAAAATGCCAAACAAGTCGTTAAAAAAATGTCTCAAAAATTCAGAAAGTTGCCACCTCGAAATTCTAAATTAAATTTAGCTATGTATGAATTTCATGATATTTCGTCACAAACTAAATAATCTTTTAGTTTCTATTCTGTTCTTAATAACTGCATGCTAACACTTTTCAAGAATATATTTCCTTGAAATTTGAACACAGCGGTAAAACGTTTTTATTATAAAGTACTATTTAAACATGCTTGAGCACAGTGTTTTATCAGATATAAAGATTTGAGGCGAAGCCGAGTATCTTTAGGTCTGATAAAACACGCACTTCGAATATTCTAAATTGCTTCAATACGATCGGCTAGTAAGCTCATTGGCGAAGTAATTTTCAAAAAATATGTTGTTAAATCAAAGTTAAAGTTTATGTAAATCAAGTGCAATCTCTATCACATATAAAGATACGACACGCTTATGATTTTTCTTTGTGTTTTTCTCGTGAATTATTAATGAGTTTTTGAATAATATCTAAAACGCCCGTGGAGAAGGTACTGTATATGTGAAAAGGGAGAAAAACCGGAAATCCTGGGATTTTTTTGTTTTGGGTTCCATTCAGCATTTTGCCAGAAGGCACTAATCTCAAATTTCAGAAAGAGAAAATTGAGGAATTTATTAGATATTTCAATTTTCGCTTAATGTGCTTGATTTATGCAGCAAAAGTAGGATTTGTTGCAAATTTGTTACGAAAGGCAAAGATAGTTATTGGGGACCACGAACTGAAGCCAGCGGGGTATTCCTCCCAATTTTCCGCCAAGAAAGAAAGGTAACTAATTTAATATAATGGAACACCGCGGAAAAACGTCTGCGCATGCGTCAACCTTACCTGTAATAGTATTGCGAACTTGATCAGAAGCTGTTCCGAACGTTTCCGAAAGCTCAAAATGGCGGTAAAAAGGAGTGACTTCATTGTGTGTCTTTACAGCCAGATTTCGAGCGTAAAAATAAACATGTCATTCTAAAAACGAGGAATAAGTACAGCCAGAAGGTTCAAGAAATTGTATTGTACAAGAACATGAACTAAAGGTGATTGTTGACAAATTTATCGTCTGAAACATTTTGTTTATCAACTAAGCAACGACAATTTCCAAATTTTCGTTTGAGATACATTTCTTTAAAAAAAACTGTGTCGCCAAATATAAAAAATTTTCGTGTTCACAATAATTAAACTTTAGGATTTATTCTACAATTTGAGTGGGTTAAGAAGCTTAACTTTTCGAGAGTTTTCTTAACTTTTTAGTTTGAATTTTTGTTTTGAATAATTCTGTAAAAATTTTCGAAGTCGTGTCCGTTAATATCAACAATCTTTTACATGAATTATACTTCATTCCATACTTTAAATGCCAGGACGCTTTCAATTAATGTCTAGTCTACCCATTTGCTATATTTTCTCGTTTGTTTTACTAATTTTTGACCAATTAATAAGCATGTTTTTATTTTAGAAATTGATATTCAAATTCCCCGCCATATTTTCATAATTTGGTGCATGCGCAGACGTTTTTCCGCGGTGTTATATAATGGTGCTTCGGTGGCGTAGTCGTCAGAGCATGCGCCTTGCACCTCTAAGTTCGTGGGTTCGAATTGTGAAATTTGGGGCCCTTTTTTTAGTAGACATGGATGGGGAAAAATTTTTGTGACTTTTTTTACTTGTTATAGAAAATTTTTTTGAACCACCTTTTTAATGAATATGGTTCGAAATTTTATTTTCTTCCCCCTCCCCGTTCGCCAACATTTTTTTTTTTTTTGGGGGGGGGGAAATAGGGCCCCAATTAAAAATGTGACGGGGGCCCTCAAGAGGTTGCGCTACGCCACTGAACACAGTTATGTCGAACTCGCTTATCTCAAACTCCCGCTACCTCAAACTTAAACCATTCTCCTAGATTTGCCCATAATGTTTCAATAATTTTTATTCGGTTATCTTGAACTTGCTCAATTCGAACTCCCCGCTATCTCGAAATAATGTTACTTCCTTGACCCAGTTTGTCCGGTTATCTTGCACGCTAATGATTGTATAATGACTCTAAAGGGCTGATTACATGGCCGAGTTGTCCCGCTTTGCCGAATTGTCCCGGCTAAGCGAGTTGACTTTTGAATTGCGATTACATGCACCGCGCTAACCCGGCTAGCCGGGCTGAAGTAGCTCATTAAGATTATAGTAATGCTTAACAATTTAATACTCGGTGTTAGAAATCGATTAAAAATGGTGTATTTGTTGAGGACTACTTTACACACTGAATGTTGTTGGTTGAGGTATTTACACTTATAGCGCTGATCCCAACAGGCTTATACTATTTGTATTCTAACAAAATTGTGTCGCTTCCTATATAAACCTTGAAATAAAACGTTCATTAATATCATTTTGATGTTATTTGAAGTTTTTTTAACTTATATTTGTACATATAATCGAAATTAAAACATGCACATAAAGTGTGGTTTTCAGCCCGCTTTGCCGAGCCAACTCGGCAAAAAGCGATTACATGGGATGTGTGGGCAATTTCTGTCCCGGCTAAGCGAGTTGACTCGGCAAGCTACAGCCGCGGTCCCGGCAAGGCGGGACAACTCGCTTTGCATGTAATCGAAATGTCAAAATAATAGACAATACATATAGGAAGCGGGCCAACTCGGCAAAGCGAGTCAACTCGCTTAGCCGGGACAACTCGCGCATGTAATTGGCCCCTATATAAGGGCCTGTTTACATGGACGTAGGATAACCCTACCATTAGGGTTACCCTACCAACGCGAAGTTTTAGCGGCAAGTTGTATAATTTATGTCTTGAATCTTTGGTTGCTGCACCTCAATGATGTGGTCTTTTAGTTTGTGTGTTATTGTATCAGAAGGGCGAATAAAATATGGCATGCTAGGTAGGGTAACCCTATAGTATAGCTGACGAGTTTATATGCTTTATGTAAACAAAAACGTGCTTGTTATAGGTCTGTTTGACAGGGTAACCATACCCCTAGGGGCTAGGGTAACCCTATAGTGCGCACGCAAACGCAACGTCTAGGGTATATAAGCAGCTTATACAAGGGTAATCCTTCTACGAGGGTTACCCTACCTCCATGTATACAGACCTTATTGACTTTACTCTTCAGTTGCTTTTATTAAGGAATACATGCAGGTATTTCACTTTGCAGCGAAAACATGACATGCACGTAAAACGGACTATAATGATAAAGATTGCACTCTTTCAGTTTAGGATACTGTATCTATTGCACAACTATACTGTCCATTGTGTACAGGTCATTAGATCAGCCACGACCACATTAATTGAACTTAAATAATTATTATGTTTGTGATGTTATTCTGAGTGTATATCCACACCGGGCAAGCTTGAAAAATATGCCTGGCCACGGTGGGAATCGAACCTACGACCTTTGGAATACTAGCCCAATGCTCTACTCTGCCAACTGAGCTACGCCGTCAGGTACGTCGATTCGGGTCATCACAAACATCATATTCACCTGAGTACATAACACCAACACAGAAAAAATTCTTAATAATTATTATTATTAACTATGTTTTTATTAACTATATATGTTTGTATCTTTATTGACACTGATTCGATTATCTCGAACCCCCGCTGTCTCGAAATTATTTCTGTTTTCTTTGTCTGCTCGAGATGTGTATAAGATGTTGTTTAGCCATTTCTTTAGTCATTTATTTTGTTTAGTTACTTTTTTAATTGGGAAACAATTTACGTCCATGATTATCGAGTTTGCTTAATTCCTAATCTACTGGATAGGTGCATCTGCTGATGCATAAATATGACGCTACTATATAATCTACTGTGGTGTTGTTAGAATGTTGGAATAGGTTCTGAAATGATCTTGTTAATGATATAGAAGGAGACCTATTCGGTGTTGATAAAAACTGCTCATCAATGGCCTCCCTTCCTTCACGCTGTCGTATCTCGTCAATTTTTCCGTAAATACGTATGTAAATACGAAATTCCTGACTTGCGAAATATCTGACTATTGTAGAACTGCCCATGCGCAGACGATGTGCATGAATGACTTTGGCTCATAAATTTCGCAACTCAACAGACAACACGTGTATTTATAAAGCATTACTATAAGCACCAAAATTTGTTTCGCGTTTGACCTTCTCAATTGTCACGATTTCAGTAGCAAACAGCAACAATGAGTTCGTGAGTTGCCGAGTTGGCCGTTTAGATTTGGCGATGTCTATATTAGAAACATTTGTGGTAACATCGCATATGGACTTAAAAATCGTTTCGACCGATTGTATTTAGCAAACGTCGTGTATTTCGCGGTCACGACCACACAATTCGCTTTCGGAAATTTAAAGTGTTTATGATTGAAACTTAGCGATGTCGATTTGAAATATTTAACGAAGTATTAGCAATAACATATCATGATTATTTTATCTAAACTCTAAAAAACAGTTTTGGCCGTCATAGAAGTTAGCAAGCGTCATGTATTTCGCGCCTGCACGCGCGAAATTTCTGACCGGTTATGGCTTGGTCAGGTATTTCGCAGAGGTCAGGAATTTCGCTTGACACCGGTAATGACAAAATTGATGCGACATCCGGTATTTTTTATCGTAGTCCGATATGATCTGGCTGGTTGTGATGTACATAAAAAAGCTGTAGGGGAATGAACCTATAATGGGCTGGGGTAGCAAATCTTCGAGTTAAGCCCCTCGAGTTAAGCCCTTCGAGTTAAGCCCCAACCACGCCCTTTCGAGTTAAGCCCCGACCACGCCCATACCACACCCATTTCCGTTGGGGGCTTAACTCGAAGTACATAACTGGAGTTAGGTACTTCGAGTTAAGCCCTCTAGAAAATAGGGGCTTAACTCGAGCAAAGTCAACCATTTTGTTCTTCGAGTTAAGCCCCAACGTTTGAAAGATGTA